GTTCAGTGGCGCGGGAATGGCGCCTTTTGCACAGCTCCCGTGCCTGGGCGCCTGGTTCCTGCTCACTCAGGGAGGGACCTTCACCTCAGTGAGGACCTCCGCGCGTCTCCCCGCAAGCCTAGGTCGTCTCCCCGCAAGCCTAGGTCGCAGGCGCGGGGACCTGGGCAGCCGCGATTCCGGTCTGCACTTGCTTTTCAAGTGCGCCAAGCGCACCGCTCTCCGCGCAAGCTTACCGGCAGCCCGGGCTGTGTGCGCATCTCCCGGGGTCTTTGTTCTTCTCTAATGGCGCCCGGAGCCGTTCGCTCACCGCCGAGGCGGATCCTGCAGGGTTCGCCTCAGCTCCCGTTCACGGGGTGTGGTGGCTGCAATAGTTCCTTTCCACGCACAGTCCCGCTTGCTGCGTCGTTTGTTCTTGTGGGCCGTTTTGGTTTGTTGTTTCCTCCTCTCTGCCAGTCGGAGAGTGCCGCCTCTGTGGGCGGGGGAGGGGAGCAGGGTTCTGCGCTTCCCTCCCTTCTAGTCCTCTTTTATGGCCAGTTTCTTCTTCGGGCAGTTCGCTGGCGTCACCCGTTTATCTTCCGTGTCCCAGTTCTCACTGGGACCTGCCGCTTTTCCTCCCTATTAACTTTTTTTAATGGGAGATCTTACTCGCAGCGTCTCCTCGCCGCCATGTTGCTCCGCCCCTCCCGATATAACATCTTGATAGCTGATAGCATTTTAAAACAATTCCGCATTTTATTAAAATGCTTTGACTATCTGTCCAAATGCTACTCCCAGTCATCTCAGAAGAAGACTGCTCTTGAATTACTGTTACAATCAACATTTAGCAGTTCTCATATAATAAACACATGTAGGAGGTACTTTCCACATCGATTGTCCCCTTTTAACACTCAGGAATGAAAGAAAAGTTGAGTCCTAGAAGCAAAGTCCTGGAGGGAACCCCTTTGACAGCACCATATAAGCAGGTGCAGGTTATAGAAATCGGAATTTAATTACATCAATAGCTTCCTTGTTAATCAGTCATTTGTTGAAAGCAAAAGGTCATGAACAGGAAGAAAACAGAAAGAAAACAAATTTGGAAACTGAAATCCAGGTTTGGACAGAACAATCAGAATAACGTCTGCCGAAGGCAGTTCCTAACCACAGACCAGTGCTCAGTTGGGGCAAATGAAGGGAACTGGTGGCTTATTGTACTGTGTAAGTGACAGCCCCTATTCTTATATGTTCTAATAATTGTAACCCACAGGGGTATGTGGAGTGTGGATACCTGTCAGGCCCTGTCTCAAAACCACTATCTTGCAGTTTAACAAGTCCAGTAAGTTTATGGCTCTGAAATCAGGAGTAAATCCAGATGTAGAAAAAGTATCACAATAAACCGTGATCCCAAAAGACAAAACCGAAGAAAGTCTGTCTGTAACCATCAGTTTTTAGTTAGCAGGAAATAAAAAAGTTCAGTGATTCCAGTGTTCATTGTGGCAATAAAACAACTGCTAAATGATGATTTTGTTAAATATAAAATGGGCTAAACCAAGGCTTTATTATTATTATTATTATTATTAATTTCACTCTTTTGAAATCAGTTATCTCTTTTTTTGAATGATCAGTTACTGTTAATCTTTACCTGGAGAAAGTCTGTGAGTTAGAAGCTACTCTTGCCACTTGAAAGTGATTCTAAATTGTCGTCCTAGCTGCATTCAGTGGTGGTCACTTCCAGGGATTCTGGATGAACTGGTTTGGAATGCTGCCGAGGCACCAGCTTGTCACAGCTCCCACATCAAGTGTTCTGTGGTTGTCAGTGGACCAGCTGTGCCTGCATCGCCTGGGAATCTGTTAGAAATGCTGGAAATCAAGTCCCACTCTGAATCTCTAGAGAATCAGAACATGTACTTCAGCAAGACTGCACATGAATACCAGCCACATTAAAGTGGGAGAGTCTAGAAAAGTGTTTCTCCAAGTGTTGTCAGAAAACATACATTAAAATCATCTAATACATTCTTGTTTGTTTCTTTAATAAAATGAAGATTTTTGTCTGGCCCTAATTTACCTCCTGAGTGAGACTCTCTCAGGGTCAGGAAGCTATTGGAGATGGTGGAATGTGATCCCAAGGAATCAATAGTTGAACAACCACCCAGTGACTCTTCTGAGCATCTAAATTGAGAACCACCAGGTAGGGGAAGTGGAGAGAAATTGGTAAAAAGGTACAACTTTCAGTTTTAAGATGAGTAAGATGGGAGGATTTAATATATAATATGGTGACTAGAGTTGCTTACACTGTATTTTGTAATTGAACTTTGGTAGGAGAGTAGAACTGAAATCTTCTAACCTATTAAGTGGGTAAATAAGTGACGTAGTGTATGTGTTAATTAACTCAGTTGGAGGAGTCCCTCCATAATATATCAAAGCATCATGTTGCATACTTTAAATATTGTATGATTTCAATTGTCAAGCATACCTTAAAAATTATACCTTGGAAATACATAAATAAATTGAGAATCACTATTGTGGAGAATGTGTCCTGAGGCGAAGGCCCCAGATGCCAAAGTCTATGGAGCAGGTTGTCTGTAGGGAGAGAGAGATGGCTGTGTGTATTAACAGGGACAAGTACTTAGTCATGAAGCAGTACCTCTCCTTCCTAAATCAAAATAATATTAACTTTGAAGGAGATGCTCAGATCATGCATTTGGGGGCAATTTGTGTCTACTCTTTAGGGACAAATAAGATTTCAGAATTTAATCTGAGATGCTTGCTGATCTTTTCTCAAGTGCCAACAGTTAACTGTGGTTTGGGACCAGCTCCAGTGTTTTTGTTCCTTGTCAGAATTTAAAATGGCCAATCTCAGAAATAAACTTCATTGATAGGCACCTAAGAGTGCCTTTTGCAGAAGTGATTGACACAAACTTGTGTAATCACTTTTTTCTACTCCTACCCCAATTAAGTAATTTGGGGTTGTGTTTCTTAATATTGAAGGAGGAGCACTGTCCTATGATAATTCCTGTCACATAGCTGTGCAGGTAACACGCGTTCCCCCACAGGCCTGGCAAAGATCAATTCTGCGCAGGTCAGGTCTTAGAATTCACAGTTTTGGCTTCTCACATGTGTGTTAATATCATCCCCCAATTCCAGAATAAATAAGAATTCCACTGTAGCCTCTATTTAGTCTGGTAACTCAAGTGCCTAGACATCACTTTTATCACAAGCCATTATCATGGGTCTGTAGGATCTTATTTTGTTTTTGTATTAGTTTTCTACTAGGGCAGTCATAAGAAAGCACTACAGATCTGGTGGCTTAAAACATGACAAATTATTTTTGTATAATTCTGCAGGCTAGAGCTCTAAAATCAAGCAGTAGCCAGGGTCCTGTTCACTCTGAAGCCTCAACGTAGAGATTCTTTTTCCCTTCCTAGCTTAGGTAGTGCCTAAGCATCTTTGTCTTGTAGATATGTCACTTCGCTCTCTGCCTTGGCTGTTGTCTGGCTGTCTCCCTGTGTTTTTCACATTGTCTTCTCCTTTGGTGTCTCTGTTTCTATGTCCTGTCTTTAACTATAAGAACATCAGTCATATTGGATTAGGGGCCCACCATACTTCAGTATGGCCTCATCATAACTAATTATATCTGTCCCAATCCTATTTCCAAATAAAGTCATACCCTTAGCTGCCAGGAAGAACATAAGCTTCTAAGAAGCACTATTCAACCTAGTACAGTCTTGTTTTTATTTTTCAAGGTTATTATTTATTATTATTTTTCTCCTTTATTATCTCCCTCATTTTCTTCCATCCCTATTGGTAGCAATTTTTAATTATATTTAACATATATCCTTTCCTTCCATTTTCCATCTTTATGTAGTTAACTATGTATCCTCAGAAATGCAGTGTGGTTAAATGTATTTAAATGGAGTTCTTAAATGGAAACAAATGTTGTGATAAAAATCTCATTCTGTTTCATATTTATTTTACTCAGTGCTTATTTTTATGATCTTTCATGTTGACATCTGTCCATTCAGTTGATTTTTTTCCTTGCTGCTACATGTTTCAGCAGCAGCAAATGCCATGTGTGTGCATGCATGTCCCTAGTGAAAGACACGAAGTTATTTCCAAGGCTTCACTACTGCAAACCACCACGTATTGCATTCATCAATCTCATTGGTTTTCCTGCATATTTACATAAATTCTCCATATACCAAAAGTTTGATTCCCCTGCAGTATCATAGGATGTCAGCATATTTAATTTCACTGAGAATTTCACAGTCTGTTGTGCAAAATGGCAGCACCAGCTCAGTCTTAACAGCAATGACTGAAAATTTCCTTTCTCAAGCATGTCCAAATGATTGTGAAGAGGGAGAATATTATAGTTATTTTTATTTATAACTCTCCAATTGCTCATGAGCTTAACCCAGTCAGCATTTTCTTTCTCTGAACTGTCATTTTTATCCTTTATCCATCCCTATTGGGATAATTTTCAGGGATTATTTACATATTCTGGATTTAATCCCTCACAACATCCTTCTTTTAGATATCTTTGGCACCATATTAACTTTGCCAACAGATTCTCCCATTGAGTAGAAATCATTAACGTTGGTGCAATCAAATTCACCAGTTTTCCTTTTGTTTTCTTTTGAGATCTTGTTTCAGAATATTTAACCTTCCTCTCCCTTCCCATACCAGTATCATGAAATAATCTCACATATTTAGTTTTTCAGGGTCTGAGTTTCCTGATCACACCTAGATATTTACACTTATATTTGATTTAATTATTTACAACTTTCATATTGTTTACAGTGGATTTCAAATTCCATGTCATGGTACATAAGGTTACCCTTGAAAATTTCCCAGCTGAATTTTCTAGCTCGTTTCTCAACACTTTCCATTGCCTTTCATCTTAATTTGCTGAGTTGTCCATATGTGCCTAAGCTTACCACACATTCTCTAACCCTCAAGACTTTGCATGTGTTCCTCCTTTGGCCTGCATGCTCTCACAATAGCTGTAATAAACAGATTCCCTTTAGTTTTTCAGGGCTAGGCTCAATATCACCTCCTCCAGGAAGTCTACCTGAACTTCAGGACTGGATCAGCCATCCTTTGTGTGCTACCCACTCCAGTTCATATATACCACAATATAATGTAAGTGTTTGACTACTTGTCTGTTTCTACACTAGAATATAAGTAATTTGAAGGAATGAATAGGATGTTAGTCTATCATTTGATGCACAGTATCTAATCTATTACCTGGTGCATAGGAGGAATTAATCAGTAATTATAAAATGAGTAATTTTCTGAGTCAGGAAATTTGACTCATACTTCCATTACAGGTAGAATTATATTACCACTTTAGTGTATATTCATGAATAGAGAGAAAATTCTTTAAGAGCCTTAAGATAATGTCTTTATTATACCAGGGAAGATGAATTAGAGCAAATGTTAATAAGAACTATACAAAAGGTACGAACTTTCAGTTTCTAATAATTGCCTTAGAGATATAATATACAACATGGTGACAATTGTTATCAATACTGTATTTTATATTTGAAAGTTATCAACACTTTATATATTTAAAAGTTACTAAAGAAGTAGATCTTAAAAGTTCTCATCACAAGAAATATAATCACCATGTGTTATGGTTGTTAACTGGACCTTTGGTCATGACCATTTCACAATTTTTCAAAATATGAAATTATTATGTCTACATTAGCAAACAAATCTTAAAAATCTCAGTGACTATTTTTTTAAAAAATTTAATTAATTAATTAATATATATTTTTACATTATTGTTCATTTTTAAACAATGTTTGCTTCCCCCCCCCCATATTTAGTCCCCATAGAATGACTTTAAAAATAAATTACTTCCTCTTGGAAAGGAGAGGCAGCTCCCTTAAAATAGCAGTTCAGGGATTGAGGTTATTTCCATTTTACTGCCCTGCTATCCTGATAGGGAATTTCCATCAGTTATCCAGGCAGGGGAAAAAGAGTACTTGGGAATCACACTCAGTTCTTTCATCCTTTGGTCCTGAAGCAACTCATGTCACTTTCATTTGAGTTCATTGGCCAGAACTAGTGACATTCCCCAAACGAACTACAAAGGATGCTGAGAAATGCACTCTTTCTTTTCCCCAAAGGAAAAGGAAAAAGAATGGAGTCTAATAAAAATAGCATTGTCTCTGATACATAAGAGAATAAGTCAGACTGTATTTGAGTTTACGGCACTGCCAGGCAGGTTTGCTGTGAGTGAGGTTTTGAATGGAAACAATTTTTACCAGCTTTGAGGAAGTAAAAGAGGGTTTTTAAATTTTTTCTAGAGTTTGCTCTTTCTTCTTCCTCTCATTCTAGTGATATATTTTAGTCAATCATGGCTCACTTTCCCTCCTCCCAAAGGTACTGAGCACATAATGCCATATACAATTAAATACACAAGCTTCTTAAATTGAGCGATAAGAACTTTAAACTCAATCAGCCCTGATTACTAGTTAGTTTTATTTAAAATTTAATGAGGAAAGAGATTTTTAAAAAGTGAGTAGAAAGTTCCACTAATAACTTAATTTATGTGTCTTTCATCTTCCCCCAAAGTAGCAACAATTAAGGACTGATGACATCATCATCTATTAATATAATAATACCTCTATTTGTATCTCCCTTTCAACTCTGCAAAGTGTGCCACATCTATTATCTCACTGTATCCTCACACCATCTGAAGGTAAGTTAGGCATTATCCCCATTTCTGCAGATTAGGAAATTAGATCTCAGTAATGTTAAGGGAGCTGCCTACAACCTGCAACCTGTCCTGCTGTTGCCACTGGAACCAGATCTCCTAACTTCCTGTATTATGCTTTTCACCTTAAAACATGATAATCAGGGCCTCCCCTGGTGGCGCAGGTGGTTGAGTGCTGTGCTGTGAAGCTGTCTGCAGCCTCTGCAGCGCCAGTTCGATCCCGGCCACCGGTGAGGGTCCCACATGGCGCTGCAGACCTCTCCTGTTTAACCTGCTGCTCCCCTCAGCAGTATATTTCATCAGTCTGCCTGTTCTGTTCCTCGCACCCTCACCCTCCTGCACATCTGGCCTGTACCCTGGTTCTTGTAGAAATAAATAAATAAATAAATCTTAAAAAAAAATAAAATAACATTAAAAAGAATTAAATACTTAAGGAAGAGATGTTGGTGGTAAGGAGTAAACTTATCAAAGGAAGTGAAGGAACCTATACAATGAAAACTATAAGATATTGTTAAAAGAAATAGAAGAGGGCACAACAAAATGGAAATGGATTGGAAAAATTAACATTGTTAAAATGGCCATCTGATCCAAAGCAATATAGATATTCAATGCAGTCCTTATCAAAGTTTCAATGGCTTTCTGCAAAAAAATAGAACGAACATTACCAAATTTCACATGGAACAACAAATGATCCCAAACTGTCAAGCAATCCTGACAAAAAAGAGGAAAAATGGTATTATCATATTCCCAGACTTTAAATTATATTACAAAGCTATAATAGTCAAAATAGTATGGTGCTGGCACAAAAACATACCTACAGACCAATGGAAAAGAATTCAGAACACAGAAGTAAATGCACATTTATATGGAAAGTTAACCTATAACAAAGGAGTTAAGGGTATACACTGGAGAAAGGAAAATTTATTCAATAAATTGTGTTGGGAAAACTATTCAGCTTAATATAAAATAATGAAACTGGACAATTATCTCACCCCAAACACAAAAATTAACTCAAAATGGATAAATGAGTTGGTTGTAAGACATGAAATATAAAATACATAGAAGCAAACATAAGCAAAACATTCCATGAGATAGGCTTCATTGATTCTTTGTGGGTTCATCTCCAACAGAAGGAGACTACACACAATTGGGATTACATCAAACTATAAGGCTTAAACCAACATGACCTCACAAAATGAATAAAAAGAGAAAGACAAGCTAAAAATTTTCTGCAAAGTGAAAGAATTTGTCACTAAAACAAAAAGACATTGTACTGAATGGGAGAAAATATTTGCACATCAGACAGCTGACAAGGGGCTGATATCCAAAATCTACAAAGATCTCACACAACTCAACAAAAAGAAAACAAATAATATAATAAAAAATGGACAGAAGAGTTAGACACTTCTCCAATAAAGACATACAAATGAAAAAATTCTCATCATCACTTATCATCAAATTAAAACCACAAAATTAAAACCACATTGAGCTACCACCTCACACCTGTAAAAATGGTCATTATCAAAAAGAACAGAAAAATAGTGCTGGTGAGGATACAAAGAAAAAGGAACTCATACATGGTCAGTGGGAAAGTCAACTAGTGCAGCCCCTATGTTAAACAATATGGAGAGTTTGCAAAATGCTAAAAATAAATCTACCATATGATCCAGCAATTTCAATACTAGGTATTTATAGGAAGAATATAAAAACTAATTTGAAGAAATATATGTACTCTTATGTTCATTAAAGCACTATTTACAAAAGTGCCCAAAGACAGATGAGTAGATTGAGATGTGGTACATACACAGTAATCAGACATGTGTGTGTGTATTATAATATATATATAAAGATATATATACACATATATATATATAAAGATAAACTCTTGCTATTTGTGAAAACATGGAACTAGAGGGGATTGTGCTGAGAAAAATATGTCAGAAGGAGAAAGACAAATACTGGATGGAATATAGAGAAATAAGACAAAGGGTCATCAGAAAAAACAAGATCAATTAAAAAATCCAAGACATCTTACTGTAGAATTGAGGCTACCAGAGGGGAAGTGGGCAGGGAGAGCAAAGTTGGAAGGGGTACAATGGACTATGGTAGGGAACCATGAGTGTCTTGGTGGTAGGTGTGGTGTGGTAACCACATATCTGGAGGGTGTGATCCTATACTTCTAAATCATATACAGTGTTGTTGTAAACCAATATTACCTCAACAAAAACATTTTTAAAAATGGTCACTTTGGTAATAATGTTCTAGGGAAAAAACCCAGAAAGATGGCAAATATTGGAGTTATGGCAATGATAGAGGGTGATAAAAGAGAACACGTTCAAGAGGTGATTGGGATACACCACTCCTCAGTGATTGATTATGAATAGGAAACTAGGGAAAGATCCACCTCAATCTTCAGGTTAATAGCTTAGAAGTTGGGAAACATCAACACTGGAAACATTGTGAGAGGAACAAGGAGGAAATTGGAAAGCCAGATGATTCATCCCATTATAGACAAGCCAGATCTGAAAGTCCTCTGGGATACTCAATTAAAGATGTTCAGTATACAGTAGGAAAAAATGGTTTGAAGGTTAGGAACGGTCACTTGGCTGCAGATGTTATGAGAAACATCAGTAAGTAGTTGTTGGTTGAGGCCATAGGTTTAAATGTGATTTTCCAATGAGAATTTATTACTTGAGAAATAAACAGCCACAAGAACAAAGACCTAAGAAATCTAAATTTTTCAGATGCAAGAAGATCCTGCATTGGCAATAGAAGATCAAGAAGGAATGGTCAGAAAGAGAGAAATATAATTAGAACTCTGCCATTACAGAAGGCGGGAGTCTATGAAGTTTTAGTGAGAAAATGATGAAAAAAAAAAAATAACTGAATCCATGTAGAACATAGGAGGTCATTTATTAAAAACAACTCAGTAGAATGGTGGAAGTGGAAGCTAGATCAGAGTGATTTAAAGTGAGTGATTAAAGGAGATAACGTGGGCCTCCCCGGTGGCGCAGTGGTTGAGCGCTGGGTTGCGAAGTTGCCCGCAGCCTATGCAGCAGCGCCGGTTCGATCCCCGGCTGCTCCCCACGCAGACCTCTCCTGCCACCCACTGCTCCCCTCAGCGGTTTACTTCCGTCAGTCTGCCTGTTCTGTTCCCTGCTCTGGCTCTGGTGAATTCTCTCACCCTCCCACGCTTCTGACTGTACCCAGTGCTTGTATAAATAAATAAATAAATCTTTAAAAAAAATAAAGCAGATAACGTAAATATTGGTTCTATAGTCTACAAAAACATTTTGCATACTATGAAAAGCTACGCCAATATACAGCAAACTTTTGCCAATGTATAATCTTAGGCATAACCTCTATACTTGGAACTATCCTTTGAAGTAATGAATACATCTGTGTTTAACTTCTATGT